GGTTGGAAAAGCAACCTGAAGCGTGTAGGAAAGCAAAATTCTGTGAGGTGTTTTTAAGCGTAAAAGCTCCCCTCAAGGTTACATTTCTCTTGCTTCTGCCGCTTGTGTATAAAGGAATTGATGACTGGAGACCAGCACAACCAGCGCTTTGCCGGATTAGCAATATCTTTTAGAAATTCTGCTTTAATGAAATCAATGAAGGATTCCAGGGATTATAGCTTAAACCACACAAGGACTCATAACACATTGATACCATTTGCGGACCAGATATTTGGCAAATTTTTACGTATGTTTTGTGGGTGAAAAGTCTATAACATATACATTTTGTATACACATATTAAATATATACATATATCTATATACATACACAAGCTCATACTGTTTTGTTTGCTATGCAGTATCATTTTAGCCAACCTCAACAGATTTCTCACAGTACAACACACATAGTCCAGGTGGTTTAAAGAGTTGCTAGTAAAAACTGAAGTATATGGAGAGTATTAATTATCTAAAATGTAACAAATTACAACAACTTTATTGCAATGATCACTTAGATATTGATTTTGTATCTGTATAAATATTCAGGTCGATGGTATTTACAGATGGAGACATATGGAGACACAATTATATCAAAAAAAAATAACGATACCAGACCACGACAATTTTTGGCATGTACTAGTCTGGCTACATACAGAACACTACAGCTTGTACGATACACACACTGTGCAGCCACTTCACAAAAAGTGCATTTCCCATGTCGAGGCCAATGAAAACGCTTACCTGCTAGGAAGAAAGGATCCCTTTCCTGAGGAGGTGGAGGAGGGAGTGGTGGTGGCGGCGGCGGTGGCCCTCTCCACTGGTCCTGGATTGGCAGCCTTGGGGCTTGGGAGAAGTTGGTAGGAACTGGTCCAGGCGTATGCTGCTGGAAATCCGGAGGGCCCTATTGAATTAAGGCAGAATTAAGATTACTATCCGGGAATTTATCTACTGCCTGCTAGAACTTTTTTTCTCTTAGAAATATAATTCCTTAATGAGTTATCACCTATCATCTGTGCAAATTGGCCATCCTTACTGAGTCACTCTTTCACAGTGGAAGAGATATTAAACCCAAGTACAGTATCTTGAAATGAATTCACAATGTTTTAATAATCGCTAGCACCACAGGAATGCTATTTCTTCTCAAGCTTATTGAAATCCATGCAGTTATTGACCTTCTTTCCTATTAATCCATAAAAATCTGAATGTCTACTTCAGAAGACATTCCTGACATTTATCTTCTTAAACCATGCTATTCTTCACCATCAATTTAGTACAATGTAAGCTACAGAAGTAAAGCAGCTTTACTTAAACAGTGGCAATGACAATTTATGGCATCCAGAAAATTAAAGAAATCATCTTTCAAGAAGTAGTAATGGAAGAGTAACATGTCTGTCTATTCCCAAGTTAGCATCTGAAGCATTATAATAAAGAGTACAAAATTAGCTTTCCTCCAGTAAGTGGGGTTTTTTTATGTAAAGTGAGCCTTTACATATTGCAAAAAGCAGTACGTCAATCCAAAAGCAGAGTCCTGTCTTCTCCCCAGACGACACACTTAATTGAGTAATTCACACTATCATTTTTTAATTTTATATGAGAAGTTAACAAAATATGTTAGCAACCTTTGATAAACAGAAGCAGCTTTACTTCACTTAAATCATTATGTTTCACAAGCATTTCCTTATTGTGTGCGAATCAAGTAATGAAAATAATCTATGAACATCCTTACTTTCCTCTTCACACAGATTCTGAAGTCAGTGTTGGCATCTGTTCTGTCTATTGATGCTCACTTTAAAGCTTAAACTTTGCTATTGTTGAAGACAAACTTTTCAAAACATTTCAGACCAAACAATCCCTGCAAGACTGAAATATGGTCATCAGCAAGGATCAAACAACAAAGCTGCAGTGGCTTTGTCATTTATCTGCTGAGCTGCCCTCACCAACAGTACGTGCAGTTTCACTCTATCCAATTTGTACTGCAAAAATACTAGCGTTTTAGGAAAAGAGTTTTGCACACAGCAGAAATGGGTATTTGCCCTGGAAGCTGAAGTCTACTTGCTACCAAGGTAGCACAGGACCAAACTGCTGCATGTCCTTCTAGCAGCACAATACAACTAGTACCAGCAAGGCCCAAACGAGTAGATGGGAGGCACCAAAAAATCTATGGCCTTCTCAAAAACATCTAAACACAAATATGTTAGATATTAATACCTCTTCTTTGGAAGCGAGACGTTGACTACTTATGTCATTATACAGCCATCAACTGTAAATACTTTATCATTCCTAGAGATTAAAGGGTCTATATCCTGTTGCCAGTGCTCCTAGTCAGCCAGTCTCCTGTGGGTATTTCATTTAGTGGAGAGACATTATATTACACTCAAGCATGACAGTTCTCATAGCATACATACTGTTTGTAGGAGGAGCTGTTACACTTCTGCAAGTGAACAGTTACCAACACAGAATATTCTTGCCACCTCGGAAAAGACTAACGCCTTTCAATTGCACAGGCTGTTGGCAAAAAAAACCAGCAGTGGGAGGAAGAGGGAGATGTTTGGTATGGAGGAGGTGACATTTATTTGTTCCGTCAAAATCTGTTCAGGTTTAGCTGAACAAGGCTCTTCAGCTGCATTGCCCTTCCCTTGCGTTGAGCAGGGCAGTGCTGGCTGGCTGCCAAAAGAGCAACTGTACAAGAACCCTGAGGATCCTGACCCTTCACTCCCAAAACACACCTCCAGCATTAGCACACGTAGGAGCTGCCAGAGGTACTTTCAAACTAAGGTTAAATGCCTTCCCTCACCTTGGAAGCCTTGGTGATAAACGCTCGTTTCTCAAGGCGCTGCTCTGAACCCCATGCCAGGGAGCAGGCAGCGCTTCGAGCCGCGCAGCCTCGCGGGAGGCACCCAGCAAACAACTGACACGGGGCATTTAGTTATTAGTTTATCACTGCTTAATGCAGAAGGTCATTGCAGCAGAGCCAGGGGAGAAATGCGTTCATCAGGCCAGTTTCACACAGGATGTTTTTTATCTTGCATCTCATTTACAGCATGCAGTCACATGAGCAGATTGTGGACAGAAAGCAGTTTTGACAGATAACCTGATTTTCCCTGTTTTCAGAGAGCTTGACTTGGAAGCTCTGAAATTTTTCTCCCTGTATTTTTCTCTAGACACAGCACATACCTACATAGATCTTAGTTATTTCTAAAAGAGCCAGCAAAAAAAAGAGATTATGTCAAAACTTAATGAAACCTGGGCTTCATTAAGTAAGCCTAAGTATCATATATTTGCCACCCGAGCTGAAGAGCTGGCAGCAGTAATGAGCTGGCTGGGCTCGCTTCCAAGCACCAAATGGCACTGCAGTGCTCTCTGTCTCCTCTACCTGCTGCTTCCAAACTCAACGTATTCTGCCCTGGTCGAAGTAACAGATCCTTACCAGTCTCTCTGCTCACTCCTAAACTTCAGTTTTAGCACTAGGCTACAAATACAGGTTTAGGTCACAAAATTAGTGGGCATCTCTGGCCCTGTGACCAAATTTGTAACCAAGTCTCAAGTATCTTTGCCAGTATTAATTCCTTGTCCAATCAGCCTTACTGTTCCTCTGGACCTGCTTGCCCTTCAGATACTTCTCCCATCCCCATCACATCTTTCACTCTCCCTGCTGATTCCCAATCCCAGCATGGATCCACCTTCCCAGCTCCCCTGACTCCAAGCTGCTGGTCTTGTCTTGTGGCACCTGACCAGGAGCTCCCATTTCCCCCACCCAGACCCAGCCTTTCTTGCCTGTACACTTAGTTCAGGCAATTTCCCTTCTTCCTGCCAGGGAAGAAGTAAATGAGAGAATAGAGGAAAAAAGATCCTCTGCTTGTATTCTTAAACTCTTCTTTATACCAGCTTTCATGTGCTCGTTACTATGCCCAGATCTACCTCATCCCAAAGGAACCGTGAATGGCAAAGGCATGGGAAGTCCTGTTGAATTTCACATGGCTCTTACGTACTGAAACATCCTCAGTGCAGCCCAACTCGTAGTTTCTTCCTTGCAAAATTCAGCAAAATAAAACATTTCCAAATAGTGCATTTGGGCATAACAATATATTTCCACCATCACAATCCTGGAATGAAATTATCTAGAAAATTTCAGCCAAAACAATTCAAACCGAGGCAGGCAACCAGCATATCATCTTCGTTCAAACCACAGAAGTCTGGTAGCACTACACACACTGACAGCAGCTTTCCATTTCCCATCACAAGGAAACTTTAAATAAAGCTTATTTCATAAAGGTTTAAGTTTTAGAACTGAGTAATATAAAGTTATGCGAGAACTAAGGAAGGTCACACCACTTCTTTACAAAAAAAATCCAGAAACCAATAACTAGCAAGATATTTTACAGTTAAAATTATAAACAATGCAGATTTCAAGCTCCCTTCAGTACCAAAGAGGCCCATCTCTCAATTTAAGAAGCAAATATTTACTGTCCTCTAAATACTTTCACTGATTTTAAGATATACTGACAGTTATCCAACTGTTATCCAAAAACTGGTACCCACAAATCCCAACAAATTCTCACCAAGATACATTCAGAAAATAGTGGGTTTTTTTCTCTAGTCTTATTAGTGCTATATGTCATACAATTATATCCCACAACACAAGTCAGGTCAAAATAATTCCAAAGCAGTCCAACAAACTCAGAGCAAGAAGGACATACTTGAAGTTTGGAACTCTTCCCACTGGCCTCTCTCTCTCTTTTTCCCCATCAGTCAAGAGTTACGAATTCTGGGGGTCTGTCCACTTATTTTTCAAGTAAGATTCCAGTCAAACTCTGAGCAGTTTTTAACAATAACATTTTTCAGTCCTAAAAAACAAATCCCCTCCATTTTGCATTTGAAGTAACATGAAAATCCTTTTAATATCCTGCAGTGAACATGAGTTGTCCCTCATGACAAGTTTCATTAGCGCTGAAACAATGAACCTTCCCTGCCAGAGTACTGACTCCACAGTGGAACACAGGGTTGGGCTTTTGAAATCTAAAAGTTTCAAAAATGGTTAAACTACAGAAGTACAGCTGATATAAATCACACCACAGTAAAGTTACATGCTACACAAACGACCGAGTATTGCTAAGAAATACCTGCTCATTTAATCACTGAACAGATTATAACTATGTATATGACATTTTGAAGAACTACTAAAATATGACTGATCACATTTCTTGGCTGATAACCAAAGGCCAATCACGCAAAATTAATTGCAAAGACATTTGTTATTTGCAGAAAAACGAATTACCAATATTTGTTTCTACAAAAAAGGAATTAGTCTGATTCTCTTCCTTCTAAAATCCATGAAAGACTGACCTCTACTTTTTTTCCTAAACCAGCTTTGCTTTTAATATCTCTGTGGTGGATATTTTTCTGAGGTTCTTGTCTATTATTCTGAAATATCACTGAATTTTTGTTACTTTTTTTTCAATTTCTACTTTTACTTATGCTAAATTCTAACTGTCCTAAAATGAGTACAAAGTAATATAACAGTTATAACTAACTACATTAGTTCCAAGTTTTTGAGGGTGGTGTTTCTTTTTTTTTTTGCTTTGCTTAATAGTAGTTAAACCATAAGCCTAGGGGTGGATTATTTTACCATTAGTGTTAAACTCTACATTCAGCAAGTATTTGCTACTAATAACCCCCAAGTGCCCTCTGGTATTTTGTAGAAAAGGCTACGCAGAGCTATTTAACTTCAAAAATTAATGAAGAGCAGGTGCAAAAGCCAGTTTTCATAATGGTCTGGTTTTGATAAAATAAGCATACTGTAACATAGATGCATAATAAATCTTTATATGCACAGTAGTTACTCTCATTTTTCATGGTTTTCCTACCCAGACAGTTTCAAATTACAACCAAATATTCAGTACA